GAGCGGCTGCGTGGGGCTTTTGGAGCCAGCTAGATAGGCTCAAACCATGATAGTTATGTATACCATAAAACTCAAGAAAGTCTCAAATAATTTGCTTTCATCCTTTCCTTGAGGCATAATACAGGCCCTGTCAATACGATGCAACTCAGGAAGGGAGTTACATCTCAATCCCTGGACCAAGTTTCAGCTGCTCATAGCTGAAAGATGAACTGCTTCTACAGTACAGACAGGAAGGAACATAGTCACAAAACACCTGAGACTGAACCACCACCCCCCTCCCAAATTAACTGGCTTAATAAAATTCAAAGACTACACCTACAGTTGACAATCAGCACATGCAAATTATTCTCCACAAAAATCTGTAAAAACAAGTGACATCACTCCTGTCCGTATTTGTGGCAGGTGCACCTGCCCCCATAAAAGGCTGAAACTTCTCAACAGCTGAAAGGAAAGAGTCAAAACTCAAAGTTGCAGTTTGAGGGTCAATCCACAGTTTGGGAGTTGAGCAGTCTATCATGTGCACACCTCACCACCTCACCTCTGTTGAGGGACAGGAAAGGCGAGGCCCTTTGGCCATCAGCGAATGAAACACCTCATTCAAGAGAAGTTTCTAGACTGCTGACAACATATGACCACAGATCATATTCAACTAGGGTCTAAATGGAGCCCTGTCAGAGGGCAAATGGAGCCGGTCCCCTTCAGAGCAGTGAGTCTGCAGTCAGGGATCAGTCCCTTGGATCAGGACACTGCCCGAGGCAACTCCCTGAGGTTGACGGCCCTCACCTTACTGGGTGGGTGACGGCGCATTTTGGGTCATCATCACTAAAACTTAAGCTTAAGTCAGCTGTGTGGTATTAGTTCCATTTGACAGACATCCGAAACTGTAGTTTACTGACATTTGTCTGAGTGCTAAACAATTTTGATGAGAGACTCCGCCAACGCATTCATAACCAAGACGACATCACTTACTCTGTCTTTGGACAAGCAGCACATTTAAGACGAGTGCAGTAATACTGATTGCTTCTCACTAGTTTCTGTCCTCAGCATATTAAAACTCCAACAACCAATTTACTATTTTGAACAAATCTAGAGGTCAACAAATCAGAACCTGGCATGAATTCACAGATGAATCTTTTATATGTGCAGGAGTACAGAATAATTCTGGCTACTTAAATTTTTTAATGATCCAAGACATCTGAATTATTGCGTCTTACACAACACTGAAAGACAATTATCTATAGACTACTTACTTGGAAGAATCTGAAGTGGTATCTTCATTTGTTTCTGGTGTAACGGGAAGGTTTTCTTCATCACCCATGGGATTTTCTTCATCACCCACATCCTCAGTGACATCATATATAATGATGTCATCTGAAATCTGTTCCCTTTGTTTTAAGCCCTCATTTCTGTTGAGAGGTACCTGAGAATTATTTTAAAAAGAGTCAGGGAACAGAAGGACAGTGAGCTTCAGCATTCTGACAGTTATCATTGTATCTCACAATTCTGCAATTCTAGAGAGGTGCAAGAGCTTTCCTATGCCTCGGAGATTATAAGCTGTTTGTACAGATCTACATTTAATAGAAAAAACATACAAGTAAATGAACAAGCTGGAGAACAGCAGCTACAGAAAGAATGTTTGGCAAATACTACAGGCATAGAAATAAAAATATACTAGCACTGTCAGCAAAAGCAACAAAAAAGCTGCGACAACAGGACTACACGAGAACTAAAAATATTAAAACAGTGACTGCCATTTAAATAGTACTTTGTTATAAAGCTATTAATTCTAGTACCATGCTACAGTACTCATTCTAATGATTTCCCCACCAACCATTACGTGGACAGCAGAAAATAACTTTCAGTGGCATGACACACTCAAATGGCACAGGAACTTGACATGATTTTGCTGGGTTGGATGCTGCCTTGCAGAGCAACACGCTGGATTCTTGTCCCTGTATGGGGCTAGGGGCACCTAACTCCCAGAAATAACAACACAATATACACATGCTATTTCTAACAGCACTGCTATCAACAGCAAACCGCTTTCAGTAGGATCACATCAAGCTGTATTTAACACAGAGGCAACTGGCTTATGCATGCTTATACTTAACAAGTGAATGGTGATTATCAACACTTGTCTTCTGAAGGAAACACAACATGGCGTATCACTTCTAGAAGCTGGTAGCTCTCAGTGCACAGCTAAGTTTTATTCCCCATATGACAAGCTACTTGATCTGTCTGCCCCCCTCCACTCCTTCCCTTCCTCCTAACAAAGAGTATGCATAAAAGAAAACTTACGTGGTGGTTACTGTCAGCTGATTCTTTCACAATTTGTTGAAATACATTTGACTTTGTAGGTCCATTAGTGTTCAGGAGTAGAGGCCTTAATCAGAAAGAGTAAAGGAAGAAAGCCACTTCGAAACTAATTCTTTGGGTTTAGTCAACAAAACATATCAGCATATTGACCGCACAGCAAGTTTTCAAGATCATGTTTACCTCTTGCGTTTTAGGCTCACTAGTTGGTTATTCCGCACCAAGGTAACAATAAATTGTACAATCTGCAAGGAAAAGAACGCTATTGTTAGTTGCTCTACTCTGCAATTGTTTCTCTCAGAGCACCAAGGTACCTTGTAACAGAAGCCTTCAATAATAAAATCTATATATAAAAAGCAGAACACTTATTTTTGGATAGTAACTCTCATATAGAACTGTTCAGAAAAGTTAAAAATCGTGGCAGAATAGAAAACACTGCTGGTAATACATAAAAAGAATAGAGTTATTCAGTTGTCTGAGAAAGGCTTTCCACACAGCAGGTGACAAAAGCAGACTTACACTACATCATAGAGTACACAGAAAAACACCCAGTAACTCTAACTATTAGAAGAAATCTAATAAGCAATGACAGAAGGCACAGAGGGATGCTGACTGTCTACATAACCCGTATCTGTAAATACTGGTTCTGGTGAAAGGCATTTCTGACAGATTCAGAAAAAATGACACATACACTCAACAGTATTAATCAGCTGCCGTTCCTTTTGAAATATTAGACTTTCTTCCTTTACATTTTAAATTTAAGGATTAAACGTACGTATCTGGCTTGAATAAACTTAAAAAAAAAAATCAGTAAGAGTCTCTGCTACAAGGCTGCTTTCAGCATTGCTATTTCTGATATGTAAAAAAAAATAAACTGTAAACTCTTTGCATTTACATCAGTTTTAGTAGATCACAAATCTAACTGTTAAACTAAGCTAAGCTAACCTATCAGCGGGTTCCACTCAATAATCTATCCTTCTGATAACTTCAGAAATATACAGACAGTGGGTCAGTTAAGTGGGACAGCAGTGAATTTCCAATACAGAACTCCGCAATTCTTGCAGTGAGAGTTTTTCCTGAGATCATCCAACATAGGACATTAGTCATCCAATTCTGAAGTCATAAAAAACGGATGGGCCACTTTCAGGTACCTTAATGCATGATGTATGATGTTCTTGAACCTCTTTCTTTGAAAATATTTATAAGGGTTTGGCCTTATCTTCTGCTTATGCGGTGAAATACACTGAACGTTTGTTTCACAAAGATTTGTTCACCATACACCACCCTGTTGTTTTTTCTATTAAAAAGACATTTCACACACGAAAAAAAAAAAGCGAGGGCAAAGTAAGGTTAACACGGGGGACAGCATTCCCAGTTCAAAGCACGCACTCATTCACACACAACACCTGAACAAAGCCTTACCTTCCGAATAACTTGCTGCTGTTGCAAGTGTTTTGCTCTCAGTTCTGCCACTTCCCTCCAAAGGGATTCATTCTCCCTGTTTGAAAAGGATGATTTAAAAGTCAAACTAACCAAAGTTTTAAAATATTTATATCAATCATTTCTGTTAAAGATTAGTTGGCTTCATTAAAGCTCTTTGAAATGTTTCTAGATTGGGGGGGGGTGGAGAGTCACAGAGTCAGCAGCCTTGGCAAATAATTACAAAATGGAGACCCAAACACAACAAATAGCCTGCAGAGAATTTCCAGCTCCCTTAAAAAACCAAACCAAACCAAAACAACAACAACAAAAAAAAAAAACCAATTTGGCAATACTTATTACTTTTACACTCAACATTTAAAAATAAACTATTTTGTTTCTTTTCCCATAATAAAGTTACCTTCTCCACTCCCTTCTAAGAACTAAATCCTAAGGAATTAAGTAAAAAAACCAACCAAACAAACAAAAAACAACCCCACAACACAAAAAAACCCACAAGCATACAACTGGTTTCTGGCAGCAGCAAAGGAACAAAGAATACAAGAATGCAGTCTCCTCTCACCACTAAAAACCAAGAGTTCATCATCTATACCAAGCCTGTTTATTGTCCCTCACACACCTCTCGCTAAGTGTGAGCCACCTGTCAGCAACAGCACATCCACCTTGAAAGCGTCTTTAAGAACAAGCTCTCAAGTCACACACACAGCTGTGGGACACCCTAACAGTTCCCTCTACGAGCTCCAGTAAAGGTGCTCAAAAACAACAGCAGCACGGGAGAGATGGCACTTTTCACAAAACACCGTCGTTTTACAAACCCTGGTTCCCTCACAGGGGTCCAGCTACTGGGACAGTACAAAAACCGCTGTATAGTGGCCCCTGCTATCGTAGCTATGACCCTCCTTGTTTCCAACATCATAAAGCATATTAAGAGGTAGATAATGAATACCGAAAGCTTCAATGAATAAGGGAAGACAACATACCACCCTCCTCTCTTTCGCAGTTTAGTTTTCAACATAGATGTATGCCAAAAAAGGAGGAAAACCTCTCCACCTGTATTTGGGTTTCTAGGAAACCTTAAGCCAAGTTTTCAGAAACAGCTGTTTATGTTCAGTGTGATGAAGCTTACTACTCACTCCTCAAACTGCTCCTATGTCTAACATATAATTTATGTACAGTTAAATTGTACAGTTCCGTCACAAATTTAACAACTGAGGTCAGGGATTCTGAACTTTCTCAATTTCTCACCAGCTTTATTAATATATTTTGTAGGACTTGGTCTTCTGATTTAGCTTGTTTCTACCTCAATCATTTTAAACTCATAGGACAACAATACGGATGTCAAAACCCAACCATTCTACCTCCTCATCTCTACAAACTGTCACGTCGTTAGCAACTGGATGTCACTTCAGACAAATTCAGCTCTGCTCTGGACCTGATGGCCTTCTGAGTTTCCTTCCAACCCAAATTCATCTGTGATTTGAAAAGGGTGAATATGAACATTTTTACTCTAGACTGTGGCCAGATTCTAATAAAGACTCTTCCTAGACAAAGTAAGTTTGCCTCCGAATATTCTACCACTCAAGTAATTAGAACTCAAGACTAGAAATGACAGCATTTACTTCTAATCTGTGACCTTTGCCACAGAGGTACACAATCATTTACATTCTTAAGTTAACATAAGCTAAGGAATCCTGAGATAGAGTTACTGTTGAGGTGCTGTAACTTACAGTGCAAGAGCTTATGCTCATATATCCTGTCTGGTATCTACATACTCTAAAAGATTAACTAATTTGTGACACACATATCTCTCATAGTTGAGAACAGATAGTAGTTACTAAATAGGTAATAATGTGATTCTAAAAATACTCTATTTACATTTGGGTTTTAGATTATGTACTGCTGTCACTGAGGTAACTAATGAATTTCCAAATTAGATTTCTAAACAGATTTTCATAGGCATTAACTCTTCTGCAATTTTTAGCAGTAGGGGAATGAAGAAAACAACAGGAAAATAAAAAGTAATCAGCAAAGACTTTAACTGTAGCAAGAAAGTATAAGTAATTTGCACAAATTAAACTGCCTCAAACTAAACACAGTAACTACTTCAAAGCTGAAGATGTACAGCAGCATACTGTATGCTAAGAGCCAAGCTGAATATTCGGCTTCAGCAGCATTATGGAACTATTATTAAAGGTGTTGTTTAATTGTCCACTACTAGACAGTTCTCCAAACACCAACATTGCCTACACTTTTAGCCATATCAGAATATTGAATTTTTAATGCAATTATTTTACTGAAATCTATTTTCCTAAAGCAGCATTTAAAGTTAGGCAACAAGTAATCAAGAGACGCCTAAAATTAGGTCTTCATTCATTATCTGTTATCAGAATTACTCAAGTTTTAGGGATCAGTTGCTGATGGAGCAACTTACCTCTTCAAAGCAGACAATCGAGATTCAATAGTGTCTTGTTTAATTTGCACCTTTTGAGCACTACTTATTATTTTGGAGAGATCTTCCTGACTTATCTTGTTTTCTTCAAGTCTCGAAGAAGGAACCTTTAAAAGATTAGAATGCAGAAGCAACACATTCCTTTACTCGTCATTAACTATTATTTTCTTTTGGTGATTGAGTATGTTTTCTTCTAGTGTTGATAAACTATGCATTTAAGTTAACTATAGACCAAGCATTGACTAAAAAAAAAATAAAAAATACAGAAACACACAGAAATGTCCTCTTACAGCTGTCGCTAGGTTAGCTTTAGTTGTCACAATCATTTGTGTATATTCAGATTCTTCAGGCATTCTCCCAAGAGGTCTGCTTCACCAGAACCGCTTCACAATAACCCAACGTTACTAAGTACATCCCTCTCACCACAATTTAACTTCCTGTATTTCTATCCCATATCTATATTCACCTGACTCACAGTAACAGCAGAGCACATTTCAGAATCACATTTAGCAGCATAACAAACATGTTTATAGGTTTGCCCCCTGTTCTCTTTGGTAGAAAGTTTAATGCTTACAGTAGCTTTGCTCTGAAACAAGCCACATAAATAAGCAGATTGTCACATTACTGATGGTAAAGTCAAAGCATGCTCTGCCCTTCTTCTAATGCTCATTTGCAAATGTCCTATTTGCGTAACTCACTCACTTTTGCCACCTGTGAAACTTACTATAATGACAGCAAAGCAGGTTAGATAAAGGACCCTAGTCAAATCCCCTAAAATACATTTAAACAAGTCAAGATACATTACAAGAGCAGCGCAGTTTGCCTCCTCAAACTCCAAGCTTATTTGCCCTCACAATCCTGCAATTAAACTTGACATGAACTTTTCTGTTCATTCATACTCACTAGTAACAGGTTTTCCACATACTAACTTTTCACTAACCTTCCTTTTAATGTGTTCCAACAAGTCCTCCCGGCCCTGCTTAAAATATGGGTGCTGAAACTCTACTGGACCATCTCGCTCCAGTTTGACAATCCCAGAATCGACATGTACAACTTTACGGAAGCCATCTGTAAAAAAAGAAACAGGAAAAAAAAAACCCTCTCATAACCCACATACAGAAATTCAAACTATGCTGCTCCAACTATCCCGATACCAGTTTCAAGGATGAGACATTATCCTAGTTGCAGAGAACACAGGGCCACTGCTCAAAGGTCTATAACTAAACACGTACAGGACCTAGAACTCTGCTAGAAAGCAAAATCCCAAGAACTTACACATGTTTAACTGTCTGACAAAGCTTGCCATGTTGTTGTGCTTGAAGTACTTGGGAAGAATCTCTTTTGCGAACGTCTGTTCGTCCAACACCAAGAAACTCTGGCCATTCTAAAATAAGAGAGACACATTAAGCTACTTCAAGAGCACTGTAGAAAACACGCTGGGCTTTTAGAATTAATCAGCAGACAGGAATGTTTCCTTTGTGCATGCACTACGTAACCGATCTGCTTGCCTACCATTTTCCACAACAAAAAGCGTACAAACACTGCAGTTGCAAAGCAAAAGTGTATTATCAATTTATATTGCTACCCATATCGGAAGGGGAACACCTCTACTGTTACTCGTTGCTTCCTCAAGAAATGAATTAATTGTTTACCGACAGTTACCACAGTTTCACTACAGGGCAACACTACCAATTTTATATGTAGCTTCAAAGTCTTGGCAAGAACATCAAAGAGACTGTGCAAGGGAAAAAAACCCAACAACCACTTGAGTCCCTTCTGCTTCCCAGTATAAAAGCATGGTTAGGTTGGCAAGACTTGTAGACCAGATGGAGCTGTCAAAGAGCTGAGGGTGTCCACTGGGTTTTTGAGTTACCAAAAAGGTCACCACCCAAGGCAATACCTCCCCCCTCCTCGGGTGTCAACTGCGAGGGATGACTGATCTTTTATTTCATCCACAGGCTTTGACTAAAATAGAAGGCTCAGCTCTTTGTTCTTTGGTGAGTGTGCTCCATTAACTAAAGGACAAATAATTGCCAGAATTCAAATTAGCTACTTCAAAACGGTTTAGGTTTTGTCCATACATCCACAGTACTCTTGCTCTGTATTTAATGAGAAGCCCATCATCTTTGACAAACATCAACAATGATACTGCAGCTCCTTAGAAGCCCTTTAGTTCAACGAGTCACACATGTTTCTCACCCACAAATGCCAGCAGTTCCATGATCCAAAGAAGCTTGAAGAACCAACTATGAGACCATGTGAAGGTCCTTGCCCAAGAGCTTGTTTCTGACAAACCAGCAAGGATTGTCAGAAGCAGGATTGATAAATGGCTCACCACTGGATAAGTTAGAAGCTTAAGACTGAGAGGAGGTGAAGAAGATGAAAACTTTCCAGCAATGCCTACCCACCTCCTGCTGAGAGCCAGTCAGGGGAAGCAAAGGGCAGGAACAGACCATTTTAGCCAAGGTGTTAATGAAACTCACCAACTGAAGGTACTCCAACAAGCAGCACTACACCGCCCCGTGATGCCAACAGACAGCTCTCACGCAGAGCCTCACTTTATTTACTGTCACTTTGACACTGTTAGGCCTAGCGCAGAAAAATCTGGGAAACATATCTGCTAGTTCTTGTTGCCCCGACAGCTGCTCACAGCAAAGCCGTACAGGCGTTTTCAAGTCCTAGTGATACTGACTGCAGCACGCAGCAATCTTCCAAGCACTTCACTTGGTACTCTTTGTACGTGTCTCCATGGACAACACGTAACCGTGGCTTCACTGAGATATGTACACAGTGAGACAAAACTTGGCTGCTTAGTTTCAGATGGTGTTTGTCCTTACAGCGTAAGGATACGGATTTGTACATGAGGAAAGTGAAATAATATAGTAACTGTACTCATCTTTCCCTGTTACCCCTGGTAGGCTTTCTGTACCCCACAATACTGACACAGCGTATTTTCAAAAGATGTCACTTGTGCACCAAGTGATCCAAATACCTTCCCCCACACAAGAACTGCTGAATGCCAGTAATATTAACTGTGACTACTGGATACGCCTTCCACAGCCTCGCAGAAGCTCAAACAATTAGTCTTTAACTATGGAAGTAATACAAGGATACCTAATAGCTTTGGTGTGCTTACTTGAGATAAACATAAGCAACGAACCTGGAAAGCCTCCATTAAAAGCGTGGCAGTTCTTAAGCTAGACAACATCTGAATCTTCACACAGCCCTTAGCAACTCTTTTCCAGAAAGAAGAAAAAAAAAATTGGAAAAGCTGCCGTAATCTGCTGAGTCTACCTGCTTCCTTCTTCAGGAAGTTTTGGCTGAAGTTACTGGTAACTCATTATCAGCAAAATGTTTAAGAAGTCATTTTATCATTGTTTGAGCATTTCAAATAAATTCAGCTGAGAGCTGCCATCTCAGCACGACTTGAAGATGTCGATACAGTTTGAGAACAGGATTTTTTTAATATAAATTAAAGACATCTAAGATACAGAGAAAAATGAAGTTGTTATTAAAAAAACCTGCTTAGCATTTATCACAAGAATTAATGATGCTTACTGCAGCAAACTTGCCGGCCCTTCATTACATTGTAAGAAGGTGGCTGCTTCCTGCCTTACAATACTTTAAGATACGCATAAACTCTGGGCTCTGATAACGCTTCTTTTTCACTATGACAGCCTGCATTTGGATAAAAAAGACTCAAGATGAAAGGACATCCAACTCAGCTTCCCCTTTTTTAAAAACCCCCCACTCAAAACAGATGTGTATCATCAACACGGCCACCGTACCCGTTTAACCTGCAGTTCCCAGGACAGTGACTTCAGTTACTGAAATAAGCAGAGGCAGCTCAGCCCTCGCGTGTCTTTCCCCCCAGCCCCGTCACCGCTGACGGGTGCCCAGCCCGACTTTCTCCGGTGGATCTCCCCTGACCCACCCCCCTCCGCGCCGCTCCCCAGCACACACCGGGGGGAGGAGGAGGTGCCCG